GGGAATTGCAGATGTTAGCTATACATTTCTTTTAGTTTCAATAAATGCGTGAAATTTTGTTCTGTTTAATTCAGTAAAAAAAAAAACAAAAGGAAAAATTTTAATAAAATAACATACCAACATTTTTTTATTAAATTCTGCTAAAATATAAGGGAAAGATTGTAAAAAGAATATGCATTGGGATTGTTTATTTTTGTACGAGACATATGCTTTCATTTATTTTTTTGTGGTTTATGGTGGACGTAAACTTTCATCTACTTCTGGGAGCTGTTAGCTTTTTTTGTCTTTGGGGAATGTTAGACGAGATGTAAGCTTTTATTTACTTTGGGGAGCTTTTATTTACTTTTTTATATCTTATGGCGGATGTAAGCTTTCACTAACTTTGGGTAATTTTAGAAGAGAAGTAATTTTTTATTTTTTTACGATTTTTGTGCAAGATGTAAGCTTTAATTTACTTTAGAGAATTTCAGACAAGATGTAAGCTTTCATTTACTTTTGGTATTTTAATGCAAGATGTAAGCTTTAATTTAGTTTTTAATTTTCTTTAGTAAATTTTATGGAAGATTTCAGCTTTTCTTTACTTTTGTGATTTTTATGGAAGTTTGTGCTTGCATTTACTTTTAGAATCTTTGGGAGAGAAGTAAGCTTTCATTACATTTGGAATTCTTATATAAGTTGAAAACTTTCTTTTACTCTTGAACACTTGATTTATTATTTAAATAAAATGTATTTTCGTTAATTTGTTAAGAGAGCTTAACTAAGCCAACTTAGCTTTTTCAATATTTAAAAATTTTAGGCCGGGAAACAAAAATTTAAATCATCATATCATATCATCATATCATATCATCTCATATGTAAAAAAAAATTAAATTTGTACACAGTTTTCTAGCATTTTATTTTGTTGTTCAGCCACAGAAGTACCCAAGGCTACTAAAAAGTACTTAATGCATTAAAAATTACTTAGGCTAAAATTACTTTAAGTGCACATAAGTATAATCGTACATACCCATATTTGCCTGCAACATACTCACCCAGCCAGACCCCTCTACAGCTATCAAAAGTGGCATTTTCACAACAGTTCCAAGTGTTTAACTAGTAAGATGAGCTTTTTATGAATTTTTACGCATTATTTCACTTAATGCAAATCATCATATATGCTACAGTATGTATATGTATGTATGATGCATTACTAACTTATGCAATTGTTAATAACTGGCGGTGCGTAGTTGACGGACGCCACACCCTGCCAAATACCACGCAGCATCAAAAGAAATCAAAACATATACATATAGGTATATATAATATATGCATGTATGTATATACTGTAATCTCAATGTCAGCTATAAAAATGCTTACACACAAGCGCATTGTTGTGGTAAAGTGACTCATAAACTAGCTAACTGGGTAAATACTTGTACATAGTATGAACCCACTCGTGGCGCGCGGTTGGCGCTGTTTGTTTACATATGTACATATATACAATATGTATATAGTATAAACATACAAGTCGGCAGCTGCATAGGTAATGATATTCACCTGTCATTTTTGTCTCTTACTATTATTTTTGGTTAATAATAAAAGGTTGTAATATTTTTTTGGGGTTTGTGAAAGGACGCAACTCTCTAATGAACTCATATAGTATATTTATTAAAAGCGCCAGTGGTGAGCCAATAAAACTTAATTGAAAGTATTACTTCAACTTAAAGTTTTACCGTTAGTGGCCAGCTATTTAAGACATCCATACATACATACATACACTAATGCTTAGATGACTTAAGTAAGAGTTGAGCGAAAAATAAAACAAACACGGCTAATTATGGGACTTAAAGCCGCCGCTGCTTTCAGTAAACGCTAAATAAACATAATTTATAATAAGCGAAATATTTGAAAAATTTATAAATGCGCATAAGTTGTTGCAAAAAAGTAACTGCATACCTTTCTCATGACGAGCGCAGCATTTGTGGTATGTTAATGGCATTGAAAATGAACTCAATCGCATTATATTTGTAATAATATAATATTCATCTAATGCATATACATACTCGTATATGCATATATGTACGTTATGATTCATCAAGCATTACTTGCAACTTGTTTGCGGCATTGTCTAAGATAATTGATCAGCAATTAATTGAAAATTGCAAGCAGCAATTGACTTGCTACCAAAATGGTTTTTTACTGTATAAAAATGCAAATATGCGTTAAGCTACAGATTTAATAAGTTATAAAAAATGTTCTGAAAAATATGCAACAAAAAAGACCTTGATAATCTGTTTTCTTAATGCAACAGTTTCGACTGAAGACACAAACTTTTAAATGATGTAAGCAGTTATTGCAGTAAAAATGAGCTCATTACTTGCTTAAATTTTGCTCATTTTGCTAATAAAAAATATTATTGTAGATATGAGATGACAATAAACTATTCGAAAAACATTTTGCAACTAATACGAAAATCATTTTGTTTTTTACTTTTTGTTCGAACATTTTGTTGTTATATACTTTTTTACTACACAATTTATTTCTGTGAATATTGTTCAAATTATTTGATATTTTTATATCATCAGCCAAGTGAAAATGTTAACACACCACATATACTTTGAAATTTCACCCGACGTTGGATTTTTTTGTTATATTCCTTCTCAATAAAAAAAGTATGTGCTTGAAAGAGATACCATAGAAAAATCATTATCTTGTAATAAATAAAATCGTAAACTTCAAAAACTATTTTGGTTTTGGGTTTTCAAAACTTTGTTTGATACAATATTTTAGGCAATATTTTTAATATAGATATCAAATGTATAGAAAATGTAAGAAAATAAAATTTCTATACATTTATATTTTTGAATTATTTTTAGTTATATTCTTTTTAATAAATCAACATTGAAGTTTGTAAATTCTGCTTAAAAATATTTAATATTTTTATATTTCTATTTACAGAAAATATCATGATATATTTTCCAATTGACTGAAAAATATTTCGAATATAAATTTCATTTATATTTTTCGAAAAATATATAAATATATTATTTTTAAGTAAATCAATATTGCATTTCTGTTAATTCTGCACAAAAAATATTTAACATTTTTATATTTTTATTTAAAAGAAAATATCATTATAGATATTTTAGTTGGGTAAAAACTATTTCAAAATAAATTTCGCTTCTTTTTTCGAAAATTGTGTTATTAAATTCATTTTAAGTAAATCAATATTGAATTTCTGTATATATTTTTTCATCTAAAGGAAAATATTAAATATATATTATTATATGGCTATATGACACTAGTTCGCTTACTTCATTTTCGAAAATACTCATATTTTTTATCACCATTAAAGTTATAATCCCATTTTTATATTACGAATACATAATATTTTAATAATTGCTTCGTTTTTAACCAGTGTTAGTTATGGTAAAAGATATAAATTTTCTATGACACTATTTAATAAAAAAATATTTTTATTAGATGCCTTCTCTATCTTCTTAAATTACACTGCAATATTTATTTTCGAAATTTGAATTTTTATTTTTTTTCAACTGTTCCATAAACCTGATTTGCTCCCTAAAATTTAATATTTTTCTGTCAACTTCTACTTTTATTAATTCTTGGTAATTTTTATATCACTGTTTCCTTAAAAAAAAACGAAACGAATTTTAAACGAAAACAAAAATAAAAATATATCAACTGTGTTACAACAAAAAAAAAATACTTTAAAGCTGATACCATAAATTGTTACTTTTCTTTATTTGTATGTCCAAACTTTCAAGGCATATTTGCTTTTATAAATAATTTTCAAAAATATTTGATTTTACTTAAAGAAATGTGTTACTTAGATTATTTTATTTCAAATTTTAATTTAATCAAAACATAAATAATAATTTCACTTTTCTGAACAACTTATTTTAACAGAAATTAATTTCAAAAATTATTTGAGAAATTATATTTTAAAATATTAATATTTCTGTGACTATTTTTTAACCTTTTAATTGAATTTCAAAGCCTAATTTAATTTTGCGCAAATTATTTAAAAAGCCATATATTTAAATTTTAGTAGCGAAACTCAACTTTTGTTTTGTTTTTAGTTTAGCACAACACAACACATCGCTTGTTTAAATAATGATACTATTTATTCATAAAAGTTAGATATAGCAATAATTTTAGTGCCAAAATATTTGATAATAATTTATTCACTTCACTTTAATAAACAATTATACTATTTTTATTAACAAAAAAATATTTAAAAATCCTATTTAGCAATAAATTTAGCTCTAAAATATTTTTAAACTGATAATTTTAAATTCTAAAACTAAATAATATTTTATAATAATCTATACCTACTTCTAAAAATATTTTCAAACAAATTTGTCCTATTTCAAAACCTTTTAAATGCTTATAAAACACCGTTATATATATTTTTTAAAATTATTTGCTTAAAAATATTTTACTTTGTTTAATATTGGTATTATTGGTATTATTGCTTAAACACAAAGCTCACACCTTACCTTTGCTGCAACACACGTATATGGAAATAAAACACAGTTAGCACAAAGCAAAAAATATTTTTATTCAAATAACAATCGACTGTTTAATACTTTTATGTTTACTAACGTCTTCCCTGTTGTTGTTTTTAATTAACACACTCGCAGCATCAACTACAAAAAATATGGACTTATTGATATTGTTGTTTTTAGACTTGCAGGGCTATTGCCGCCACTGGAGCAGTAACAGCCAATACACACACACACAGTCACATGAAAATTTAACACAAATACTCAAATTTCACAATAAAATAAAGTTTAAACCAAAATAAATATTTTTAGCACACCCACAACACAAAAACGAAACAAATAAAACTATGTGACTCCCTTCCACAACTTCCAGTCTCAAGCACGCATATTCGCCACTTTCCTTTCCTTATGCAAACTCTGCCGTGCGCACACATAAAAAACAATCTCGTGTCCACTCCTCCAAATTTCCTACCAACCAACAACATACGTAGATAAAAATCGAATCTTTTGCACGAAATATCTGTATGTAAGCCCTTGTGTATTACCGTACTAATGCGCTTGTGTTCCAACGTCTTTCAGGTTCGCACACCGACTGCAACGACGATTGTAACCACCACGGCGCAGACGCGACGACCGGTGCTGAGCGTGCGCCGACGCAAGATCAATTCGCCGAACGCTTCATCAGGTATAGCTTACCAGACGGCTACGACGTCGTTACAGACGAGCCAAACGGCGGCAGCAACTACAACTACAGCTAATGCGGACGCTTCGACCAAAAGTGATGAGCTGCTAATAATCACAACAGAATTACCGACGACGACCTTTAATAAGTACCAACTACAACGTAATCGTAATAAACTGGTAACACCGGCCGCTACATCAGCAACAGCAACAACAACAGACGATCTAAATGCACCAACAACAACGCTATTTACAGCAGCAGCAATTACACTGAACAACGCCAACAACAATCAGAAGAGTTATTTAAATACAAAGTATAGAGCTAAGCTGGCAGCAGCTAGTTTGTCAACGATCGGCGCATCATTAGCAACGGAGACAACAAATGTCGATGGGCCAGCAACGGCAGCAACCACAACAGCCAGCAATGACATCATACAGCAAGCAAATGTCAACGCCAACACCAAACAACCGTCGACTGTGTTGCGCAGAAAATTCCAAGCACGGCGTCTCATTTCAACAACAACGGCAAGCGCCACAGACGATAGTGGTAAGTTACAATTAATAAACACAATCGACTATATACCTATGTATGTACATATACCTATAGGTATATATGTATATTACACTAGGAAACAGTAGTATTGTTTTATGAAGTTTCTTACAGATTTTGTATGATTTTCCCACGTTAATTCCAAATCTGTAGTCAGCTTTTCTCTCGCAGATCTAGTTTTCGAAATATAAACATATTACATTTTTAGTCAAAAATACTACAATTTTCAAATTTAAAAATATATTGCTCTTACTTAACATGAAAAAAGCTTTCTTTTATGTGCTTTTCTTGTATGAGTAGAAACATCAGTCTTGTTTTGAATGCTTCAGCAGTAATCAGCATTTGCATTCCAATGAATCTGATATCGCTCTTCCATAGCGCGAATATCCTGATGAAAACGTTCCACTTGTTTTTCGCTTCAGATGTCTAAACTTTCTGGGAGGCGGTCTAAATGTGTAAAGAGGAAGTGCATCTTGATGCTCATGTTACATCCTAGTCTCTTGAAGTGCAACATGAGCTACTCAATGTGTTGAATATAATCTGGAAACTTTTTATTTCTTAAGAAATTTTGCTCAAATAAATTCAATCCTTGCAGATTTCTCCTTATCTGTAATACAATCAGTAAAATGTTTAGTCCAGTGTTGTGTCTTGGCTCGGCTATCCCGTATGCACATAAAGCAGGGTTATTTGGTATATTCTTCTTGTTGACCCAAAATAAATGTACCGTTTTAAGATCGACGGTCAGTCAGTTATGTTCTATGTATTTCATTTTCTCCATAACCAAATAGGCAATTTTTATAAAATCAAACGTATTTAAACGACATTTTCTAATCATATATATAGTCACCACAAACAGCACAAAAGCTATTCGGATAATTTAAACAAGTTCTTCTTAATGTAGACATAGCGGTTTATTTATGAAATTCAGTAACTTTTTTCCCTAAAAATTAATTCAAGTAAGCCGATTAGCGATATTTCAAGAAGTACCTGTATCACTAAAACTGGAGCTGCTAGAAAGAAACTGAGGATAGACTTGAAATCAGCGACATCAAATTAGTAAGAAACAGTTTATAAACATCATAAAACAAAAAAATGTAAATTTTGCTTAATAGTGTTATTAATTGTAAAGCGCCGACAAATGTTTGTAAAGATGTATATGCCTTAGCAACATGTGTCGGCAACATTTTAAAATATCAAGTGATTTAAATACATTCTTATAATTATAAACTCGAAAGCGCTGTCCTCCGCAGCATATGTCGGCAACATTTTAAAATATCAAGTGATTCAAATACGTAAATATAAATATGAACTAAAATTCGCTGATAAATGTGTATAAACTCATATGTGTCCGCAACATTTTATAGTATTAAGTGACTTGATTACAACAAGCGTATATGAATGTATGCGTTAAGTGCATACATTATACTGTTAATGCGTATTCAGATGCAAGACCATATACATATATTCAATATTTAGTTTGGATTACTTGTGTTTTATTAATTTTTGTATTCTAGCAACATGTGTCTGACCTTTAAAGGTTTAATTCAGAATGGAAAGTTTATTTATTTTAGTCTTTGATTTTGTTATGGTTGTTGCAAATATTTATTTTATTTTTGACAAATGCTGCCGAGTTGACAGTCATTGGCCTGATAGAAATCCGGTTCCTGTTAAGTAGATTTAGTAGTTTACTTGTAATTTAAAGTTTTAACACTCAAAACAGCTAGTAAATTTAAACAATTTTTTGGGGCAATAATGGGTGTTTTTTTATGCGTGTGGTTTGAATGAGGCAATACATCTTTCAGAGTTGGTCTTTTTGACAGCTTTAGTTGACTTATACTCAGTTGATCATGAACAGACTCACTCCGGAACAACGTTTGCGAATCGTGCAAATTTATTACCAAAATAATGCGTCCAATATTTGGTCTACCCAGCAGAGTCAATAACTCGAGTACGAGATAGCCACCGATCCCGGTTTTTACAATACATTCGACAGCTTTTCACAAATTGTGCTCTTTTAGAAAAAAGAACTTTTCCATACTTTTGAATTTGGATTTGACCAGGATATATATGTAAATTATTGCATTATTATAAGCTGTCATAGATTAGTCAGAACTTAGAAAGTGGCGAACAAACAACTGGTATAAATCACATAGATCCCTTTTTACCAACTGGCAAATTAAAAATTCCGATAGCGTAGGAAGTATCAGTTTTCTCTCTCTCTCTATATATATATATTTTTTTTTTTCTACAGTCTGAGAAGAGTCAACCGACGCAGAGAAAGCAAATCATCGTAGGTCAAAAAGTTTAACTTTGTAGAATTGTGGTGTTGAGAACTTAGTAATAATTTACTTTCAGAAACTATTACGAACTCAACAAAATTGTTCCAGTCCCTTGCTACAAGTTATTTCCTGCAGGGCATATAATGCAGCATACTTGTACTTGTACAAATATAACCACAACTTTAGGCGAAAATGAGAACTGGATTCCTCTCCGCTTTGCGCTTTCTGGTGGGTGGATAAATCCAAGAGGGCTTTTCATGACTTTTCTGTGTGCCATTCATTTGTATACAGAACAACATTCCATTGTGAACTGCCGCTAGGCATAAAAATCACGTGCATGAGTGTATTTTCCTGCATTTGAGCAAGTGTATGTGAACTAACAAAATACGTTTGTGCATTATGATATTTGGAAAAAATACTTACAAGCCCATGAGCTGGCTTGATTTATGTTGATAGGGAGAATATGTTACCTGAATAATTTATTCTTTAAATAAACAGGGGCAATTTCTAGTAATAGAAAAAAATATTCAATGATTCCTTGTCAAAAACCATGGACTAGTTCACGACAGACGGACATGGACTGACTCAGCTTGTCACGCTGATCATTTAGATATATACTTTATAGGGTCTCTAACGTTTCCTTTTGGGTGTTACAAACTTTGTGGCAAACTAATTAGACCCTGTTCAGTGTATGAAAAATACAATAAACTGATATGTGTACATATTTACAAATTCATAAAAAAACAGATGGTGTGCTCAAGGTGTTTTGAAAACTCCTATAATCAGCCCAAAATCCGTGCCATATATATATGTATATACTTGTATATCCCTTGAATGTGTACCATATATATGTTGTGTAATAAAGGCATAACTTCGGTTGACGTATTTCACATAACTCTCGACGCATCTGGCATCTATTTAAAGAAAAGTATAACTAAATTTTTCAGTGTGTTTCTAATCCATTTCAATTGTTAATTATGAAACTGAATAAATTATTATAGGTACAATATAATTAATTCATTAAATTTGTTTACTTTAAAAATATGATTTGAAAATATCGTTAATATGAATATTTCAACCTAAATATTTAAGTGATATAATTGACGTAATCCATCAATAACAGTATATTTACATGGATTGCTTAATATACACACCGTTAGCCTTTTAATATAATGAAATACAATGTATCGCTTAAATAAATGCTAACTGATTAAACTTAGAAAAGTTTTGTTAAATACATAGTGCAAATGAAAAATAAACAAATTAAATGCTTATCAATCAGTTTTATTTATTTGATGTCAAAGAGCCATTCACTGGTTGCAATCGAATGTGAGAAAAGCGAGATTTGTATTTTTTTTCTATTAAAAACAGCCTACATTGTGGCGATTTTTTCCAATCATATTTCTCACTCGCAAAATGCTTTTATTTGGGGTTGCCAAGGTAAACCAGCAGTAAAGATTTTCTCTTATTTTTAATAGACACCGTCCAATGCATTATGCATGCATGTACTCGTTTGTTTAGAATATATATATTTATATTTAATATATGCATTTGCCAACAACAAACAAGCTGTTATTTGCAATATTTTATTGCCAACGGAAAATTACATTAAAATATGAATATAAATTGTTCGGTGCATCAGTGCAACATAACAACTTATACATACTACTTGTAAGTGTTAGCATAGTGTCTGCAGTTAAACTTTGGCCTCACAGTTGCACATCATTTGCGGTAGATTATGGCTATAACTATTTGTATACCAAGTAAAACCCCGGCAGACAAATCAAATTTCCGACTAGAACCACAAGCATAAGCAAGTCAGTTGACTGTCTTATTTCATACAAGTTACTAATATTTTACATCTTAATGTCCATGAGATGACAATTGTTGTTTTTTCGAGCTGAATTTCAAAGCAAAACTTGGGATCTAATAAAATAATTTTTTAGAAAAGTGCACTATAATTGGTAAAAGTCTGACATTTTTCTGCTTGGTTGCGTTTAAGACAAGAATTTCTAGTTATAAACTGTTATCCTTCCTGATGAGTTTGATGCCTCTCTGCACATAAATTCAATTTTGTATAATTTTTAAGATATAAAAGAAAATAAGAGGCGCCTGTATTAGTGCATCCTCTATTTGGATATTCAGTGCCCCCATACATAACATGAAGCTTTGATAACAAATAACGCTAAGGATAAATTAGTTAGATTGAAATTAGAGGAAGGCAATGCGACCAGTGATCTATTGGGCCCTCTCTTGTTATCACAACACTTCGTTTGAGCCAGTCAAATCAAAGAGTACCAAAGAGCTAAGTAAAGCCACTGGGTTAATGGTTGCAATGTGTTCTCTCACCGGATTTATTTGGCCGATAGCCTGACTCTTTGTTCTTGCGATGACCAAAAATACGTGCTTTGATGTCTCTGCATATAGATCAGTACCTAGCGTGACCTGCATAAAATCCTACAAGCTGCCTTAACTTATTTCTGGGAAGAGCGATTAGTTTCTTGAACCGTTTTGTATCTTTTGTATCGAACTCTCAGAAACAGCCTCGCTTGTCGAAGCCCACTTGTTGCCAGTGGCGGTTTCTGCTGGCACTTTGCTCTTTCCGTAGCTCCTCTCGTACATTGTAAATGAAGTTTTACATTGAAAATAGTTGTTAAATTATATTAACTCAATGTGTATATTAGAGCGGGTCGATTTATTTTCTATAAAATCGCCCATGCGGGATATGTTCTACGTATCATTCTGAACAATTTAGCCTAAGATTTTACGGGACCAAAACGGGTTTCGAATTTTAAGGCGAAGTTTAATTTTTAGGGATTATACAAATTTCTTTGTCAGTTTTTGAGGTATCCAAATGAAATGTAATACATAGGTGCATAGGTTTTCTGAATTAGCGATATATGTTATATATAAATCTCAGATTCTCTTTATTTTCACTGTCATTGTAAAGTATATATTGGAGGACTATTCTGAGAGAACAGTTCTGCAAAACTACGTGCCTTTTAATTAAAGGCAGGCACCCGGAAAATAAAATAACTGAATAATCGGTTGTATGGGAGATATGTGATATAGTTATCCGATCTGGCCGATTCCAACAAATGATCAATAGAATGTCAAAATGCAGCTGTATATCTCATTTCATAAAAAGATAACAATAGCTGGTGTCCTGTTTTTTATTTTAGAGATGTCAGAAAAAATTTTGGAATTCATATACGTAACGATAATAGTTCATTTTTCAATAGCGCCGACTTAAATAATATTTTATTTGTTGGGTCTGTTAAATATTTTTTTCAAAATTATTCAATGTTCACATATTAACATAATATTATATATTGCGCACTCTGCATATGTATGTAGGGTATATGCTTCTTGGAACTTCGGCGAAGTTATGAACCGACATTAATAGGAAATTGATAGGTATAAAGAACAACTTACTCATCGAATTAAAATATGACGCTTGCTGGCCCAGGTATCCATTAAATCCGTATATTAATTACATGGAGAATACAATAAAATATGACACGCTAACTCAAATAGCTCAGTGGGAATGACAACTTCGAAATTCATAAATTGATAATTATTAAAAAATAATATATTTCTACGAAATAAGATATATCTTCAGACAATAGTTTATTTTCTTTTAAAAATTATTAGAGTTGGTCCCTTCTTATTGTTCGAGCAGTATACGGTGATTCGATATTATATATTTTTTATATTTTAATAACTTAATTACGCCTCTGAACTCGCCTCTTCTCTGAGTTTAAAAATGTTCAGTATAAGATAAGAAATCTTTTGAAACTTCACTCTTTACGATTATTTTACTTATGATCACTTTTAATGTTATTGTCGTGATGTATGTTATACTCTACAGCTATATTAATATTTTATTTTTCTTTTTAGCCACCGAACAGCCACGCACACCCAATCCACTCTTCAAACGGCGATTTTCGCTCGCCGCCAACCCTCCTGCCACAACAATACTTTCGCCTAGTACAAACACTCCAGCTGAGACGCTCACCACAACGCTCTTCGTAGACGGTTTCGATGCCGAGGATGCCAGTGATCAAGTGGCCAAATCGAGTGTGCATACAAATCATTTCAATCAATTTGTGCAAAATGCCGAAGATAATGAAGCACAAATACCACCACGAACTCTAACCACCGGCATCAAGGCCTCACCACTGAAATCAAAGCCGCACACAGCAGCCACAACAACACATGCGCCCCTTGAGTCGCAACAGCAATATGTAGAATCCATCACACGACGTATGGGCACCGTAGCGGCTACCACGGAATTCACTGCAGCAAAACGTAAATAAAATTTTCATTACGTTGTTTCCCATCAACTAACCGGACATGAAATGAAATGGAAAACTGTAATATACATTTTAATTTCAGGAAAATCTGTCGCCAGCAAACGAAGGCCACAGAAGTACACGCCCCCTACGCCACAAACGTCGACTGAAAGCTTAGCGTCGCGTCGCAGGCAGTCTGCGAAAGAGACGGTGAACCGGCGACGACCTAACAAGTATGCCTCCGGCGACAGTTTTGAGCGACTAAATGGCAATCAGGCGGCACCGGCAAAGCCAATCACTCACGTCAGCACGGTGAAGAGTAGCCATCGACAAGTCGTCGACTATGACTACTATGACGATGAAAATGAACGCGTTGTTGGCAATACCGAAGGGCAGCAGGTGCGTATACAGCCAGAAGTATTTTAGTATTGTTTATAAATACATCTGTTTGTATTTAGTTGAAAGTGATTCTACACGGGCGTGGCATAATCGAATGCCTGGATCAAGGCAATTTCCCGCATCCGCTATCGTGCCGGAAATTCATATCCTGTGCCAAATTCGAGACCGGTGGCGTGGTTGGCTGGGAATATACTTGTCCGAAGGGTCTCAGTTATGACCCGGTTGGTGGCATGTGCAATTGGGCAGCCGGTCTCGGCTGTAAGGAGTAATTGGCGGCGGCATTAGCAATCAAAATCTTACAAATGTATACCCTTTGAATACTGCTAGAAGCATACTTTCGCACAAATCGATTTGCAAACACAGTATAAATGCAATAAAGAATACTCATTAAAGTAGCTCATTGAGAGTTTGACGTCTGCGCCGGAACTCATACTCATTCCATTTTTTAAAACAAATTTCCTCTAATCCATGCAGTAAATTTGTAGTTTTAATAAAATTATGTGATTATCGTTTATTGTTTCTTTTTCCTTAGTCATTTAAGCATAACTTTAAGTTTAAGGTTAAAAAATGTTATATTAAATTTAGTTAAATTTTGAAAATGAAAAATATTGTAAATGCTTATATTGGAAAAGTATTCGTTTATTGTAATTTCTTTCGTCTTATAACGAATTACCATACATATTTCTACTTTTCTATGCCAATACTCTATAAATTTCATTATTTATAATCAATAAAAAGTAAAATCTTTACTATATGGTATTTTGATTTTATTACTATTTTAAATATTAATATGCAGGCAACCACAGTTTTTCATTGGAATTGAGGTATATGCTATAGTGATCCGATATCGGCGATTCCGACAAATGTGCAGCTTCTTGGTGAGAGAAGTACATGTTTAGGACGATATCTTAAAAACTGAGGGATTAGTTCACTTATTTAGAGACAGACAGTTGAACATGGCTAAATCGACTCATCTCGTCATGATCATTTATATTTCTACTTTAAATGGTCTTCTACGTTTCCTTTGGGTGTTATAAATATCGTGGCAAACTTAATATACCCTGTTCAGGATTTGACTTAAGTAACATGGCAACTGTAGACCAATTTTTCCAATGAATCTTAAAATCGTAGGAAAAATATATAACAAAGAAATGTCGATAACATAATAGCTTCAAAACAGAATTAATCTGAGAAGTTATTAAGATACATTATACAGGGATTAAAAGATTAGAAGATTTGCCAAATATAAAAAACATTAGCTTCGGTTGCACTGAAGTTATTATATAATACCCTTCACAAACAAAAAATTTTCCCATACCAGAGCTTCACAGTTTGTATGCCAACTATATGCTATAGTGGACCGATCTGAACAATTTCTTCGAAGGTTTGCGGTTGCTTTGGACAATAATCCAAATAAAATATATGTCCTGTTTATTGGTCCTTATTTTATCCTACCTGGGTCAAATCTGCTCGATCCTCTGAACTCATTTTGCTTTGAAGTAGATGACGAAACTGCAGGTGAAGTTCTCTCCTCATTAACTGCCTTGTTTCTTACGGACACTGTATTGTTGGCCTTTCCGATTTACCAAAAGTTTTCCAATTTTTGATCATTTGTCATTTGATCCTTGTGTGGCAGCCAACCTGAACAATTAGAATTTCAAGGTGTTCAACCACAGATCTTAACATCATCTTTCAGTCAATAACGATCCAGAGCAAATCCTCTTAGAGGACGATTGCCAAGTTTGCCTTTAGTGCCTACTGCACTAACCAAATTAAGAAGTGACGATATTTAATACCAATTGCGTTTATTTACAAATCAGTTTTACAGCTTTATGTCGGAATTTAGAGTATAATTATAAAAAATGTCTAATGCAAGGGAAATTAAATACAAAATCTATTTAAAGCTCTGCCATTTACTTTTCCGCCTTCAACTACAGTTTAATTGTTCGTAGAGGTGCGGCCGGAAGTCTGATGTAGGCCATGGTAGGAGTTCTGTTTTTTGGCAGGTGCACTCTTTCCAAATGGACTTTTAGCGTTCACTTGCAGAATGTAGTCACCTTCGAGATCGTAGTCAGCGGCAATACCCATATAAGCGCGTCTACCATTGCCATTGTTGTTTTTGTACTGTTGTAGGGATTCGGCTGCGACCGCCGGGAAGTTGCGATCATTACCTGGACGCATTGTCTCGGCGAAGTAACGTGTTGCACGTAAGGAAGCTTCGATTATGTCATCAGTGCCAGGCATAGCAACAGATGGACCATTAGGATAGAAGTCAACATCACCTACACGAGCAGCGGTACCAAAGCCATAAGCAGAAGTGTGGATGGCATCAACAAAATCTGCATTGCCGCGACTTAAGCCGACCAAAGTGTTGGGCTTGCGTGCAAAGACTTTTGTGGGATCCATAGCAGTAATACGACGCAACGTGTTGCCTGTTTGACGTGTGTATTGACGAGCAGCTGCACCGGCAACATGAGCACCAATACCTTGTGCAACAATATAGATCACTTCCTGGGGTACATTAGTTTGCGACGTTAGTTGTACCAAACTGTTACCGATAGCAGCACCGACGCGGTTGATATCGAGTAGAGCAAGTTCTTCGAAGTTGCGTATGACGGCGCCCAAATCAATTACCACCAAATTACCAGTAGGTGTGTTCTGTTGGTTGTTAGAACGGCTAGAAGATTCCTCGCTCGATGAAGTATCCTGCACATAGTCATAGTCCTGACCACCTTGTACCTGCACTTGTCCGTTGTAAGCCTGCAAATAAGCCTGTACGAGTTTCTGGTTGGCGTTTGCGGCGTCACGCAGTTTCTGTTGTGGCAGACCAGTGATGAAAATTGTGACTTCTTGTTGGCCAAAATGGGGTTGTTGTTGGGCGGTAGAAACTAGCTGATTCAATTTGAAGTTGACACGCTGACCAGTGGGTGTGTAGGTGTAGGCAGGAATATCGCTGGGACTGGGAGCATAACTGGGTTCAATTTTCCGGCTCAACTGCGACAAGTGATCTGCAAGTAAAATTTTGCTAAATTAACTTGAATTCTACATTCCCAGTCAAACGCTTCAATACTTACAAATCTTGTTTACCAATTCGGCGGCCTCCTCAGCAGGCATTTCCTGCAACCTTTCGAAAGTGATCTCATCCACTGAAGGTGTATTCTCCAATTCACGCTGAGAAATCCACTCAGTGGGTTTCAGGTTATCACGTATTGAGTTGCTTCTACCGCACACTGTTGTTGCTGTAGCCAAAATGGCCACCAAACAAAAAATACTTAAAGGATTCATGGTTCTTTGTTGCCGTTTATGTCGTATGCCCGGAGCAGTCGAATTGAACTGTAGTGTTGACAAAACGGAAAATGTAGCTTTTATACCATAAAGGTATTTGCGTAGCACCACTCAGATTGCTGAGAAAACGTTAATTCAGTCGGGTGCATTGAACTCGCTTTGAAAACTGCTGTTGCAGCTAAATAGAAATGCATTTATTGATCTGTATGTCGTCAATCATTTAAGGAATCGCTACCTACAACGAATGTTGCGCGTGTAATCGTTGCTAAGACGTAAGTTTCGCTTATCTGTGTATTTTTTTTTGCGTTAAAAGCTAAGAAGGAAAGTGATAAGCTCGCTTGGCAGACACTGTTGCTTGCTAACCGTGGGCTGTAAGTGATTGCAACACGCTAATTTCAATTTATTTTTGTTGTTGTTTAGTAATTATTTTTTTTTATTTTACTTTTTTTTTAATTTTTAATTTTTCGCCAAATGTTGACAGTTTCATATTGCCAAATTATGTGAATTGCTCTTTTAGTAGACAACATATGTGAAATTATTATTATTATTCTTTCAAAACAACCATTGCATAACGTGCTATATGAAACCATCTTTCCGTTATATTTTATAAAAAACTTAAATATAACACTTTTGTTTACGAAAAGTATGCAGACTAAGAATTTGGTTGTTGCGAATTTATTTAACAGTAATAATATAACGAAAATAGATAATAAAGAAAACAAGAAGTTGGAAATATGAGCAACCCCAATTGGTCAAGTTGAAATTGGGCTCATTGCAGAGCATAATGTTGACGCATATTATAGCTAATAATGTAAATAAAAATCAGAAAAAGAAATATTAATTACAACAAAACTAGAATACTATTCACAAATAAAAAAGTTTTCACACAAAAACTCTATTTTGATCGATCAGTTTTTATGATACCATTAACTTGAACAATAATACATGTTAAAAAAGTTTTCCATACTAGATCTTGATTTTGATCGTCCAATTTGTATGACAGCTATATGCTATAGTGGTCCGATCTAGAAAGTTTCTTCGGAGATTATAGCGTTGCCTTTGGTTATATTCTGTGCCAAATTTCTTGAAGTAATCTTGTCAAATAAAAAATATTTCCATAAGAGGACTTGATTGGATCGGCCAGTTTATGAGGCAGCTATTCGGTATTGTGGTCCGAAATGAAAAATTTATTTGGAGATTGTACGTTGTCTTGGGCAATATTATGTATCAAATTCCGTTAAATACAAAATACTTAATTTTAATCGTTCAGTTTGTATGGCAGCTATATGTTATAACGGTGCGATCTGAAAAATTTATTTGGAGGTTGTACGGCTGCCTTGAACAATATGCTGTGGCAAATTTATTATACTATGTTCAGAGTTTAAAACATGTGCTTAATGAATTTTTTTGATACGATAAAAAAACAGTTTAAAATTTCATAACATATCCGGTTTTCTTTATTTGCACCTCTTATTTGTTGCTACTATTATGTTCTAAGTTTTCTTAAAAAAATCTGTATTCAATGTCTCCAAGCTTGGTGAACCGAACAAACAACTAGTATAAATTAAAAATGCTGGCGTGATCAAATACAATTAGAATATTAAACGATAATAAAATATCCATATGAAATCGAATACCAAAAACTGAGATCTTTACCAAAAATTATTGTCCCGAAAAATATACAATTGTGGAAGACTGGTTGATGCCACTAAGGGTCTTACATCATAAATAAATCCTGTAACGATTAGAGTTTTAAAAACTGTTATAAGAAATCAAAGGATCTAATCCTAAAAATTATATATAACAAATCTGGAAGTACTAAATATTACTTATCTCGTAGTTAGGAAATATGCTTAAAATAACAAATGCTCAAAAAACCTCATTTCTTATCACTTTTTAAGTCTTATTAACTGTTACTTATTCTTATATAAAATATATTGTATTAAATTCGGCGATTTAATTAAAAGATGTAGTAATTTTGACTTTTAAGAATTGTTTAACCATTAACCTTTGTTTATTTTCAAAAATCTATTTAGAATCGGAATAATAACAAAATATCACCAGTGATAATTATTTATAATAAATAAATAATAAATAATATTTATAATAAATAAATAATTTTGTTAATTTTTTCCTCAGGATTCTGAGTCGCAGCTCACTCTTTTGCCAGTCGTCTGTTCAGCACGAAAGTCATTGAGACAATATTACCACACAAAGTAAACTGTCATGCAAATATAAACCAAGCTAGAAACGTATCTCCAGCTTTGAACTGTAATTGTCTTCAATTTATTTCAATATGTGTCCTAAAAGATAACTAACGCAGGCGATACTAATTTACCAAACATGCTATGTAGTCGAAGTGCTTTTTTTCTTGTTGAGAGATTCCAAAATTGAAAATTATGTTACAACATTGTCGCTCGTTGTAAGGCTTGGAGTGCCTTTGATAGCAAAACATGTTATTGTGACGTCATGAAAGAAAATAGGGGAGAGGCAGGAGCATAACAAAATTAAATTAAATTATTGAATTTTCTTAAAGACTCTATTTTAATAATTTTATACAAATGGTTATTGTCAAACTTTGTTAACTTTGAAGCATAGGCATATTAAAGGTTTTTCAAAAGGCATTAGTACAAAAAAACAATCGATACGTATGTAAAGCTGTCATTGTAGCATTGTGAATACTTAGTCTTTGCGAGAATTTTTTAAGCGCATGTTTTTGCATTTTTTCGTAAATATTTGTTTTGGGTTGTAAATACAGTAGAACATATCTTTACAACTTTTTAGAAGTTTCTTTCATCTAAACAACATAATGTTGCTACTCAACAAACACAAGCAATTTATTCGCATGATCACTTAGTTAGCTACGCTAACTACAAGTAGGTTCTAAGCATTATGGGTTTGGGAATTACTCTTTAAAGATCCGTAATGAACAGTTTATTTAGTATGGATAACTAAAAATTTTTGTTGGTTTGTGTACCAAACATATGGACATTGAGAAGGTAGCTAAGTAGGTGCATTTAGCATTTTGCTACTAACTAAAGACATCTTAACTCTAAATTTTTGCTATTCATTACAATCAATAGTCTGCAGTCTAGAATATGTGAGCAACAACAAATAAGAAACTACAGACACATAGTATTTACGCGAGCTTTCTTTTACAAGCTTCAAACTACACAAGTTGACTTGTTTAGAACTTATAATTGACGACAGCGCATCACATTTGGGCAACAAAGTTGATTATATGTTCGTGTTGTTGTTGCACTAACCGGCAAATAGTGCAATTCAGCGAAAATTGCACGCGCAACTGTGCCGTTCACTAGCCCTCGCCCAAGTTGCGGTCAATGCCTTCTGCAGTCATATGCTCAGAGTACTTATAAACAGTTTTTAATGGAATATAATCTAAAAAATATATGTACTTATATACTCTCCGAAATTTATTGCAAACAATTATTTAAGGTGTCTTTTAAAAGTTTCTATAAGTAGACTGCATTTTCGTATATAAATCACCGACATTTAAGTTATAGGCACATTTCAAACTGATTTGCAAACGTGATCAATATGAATTCGCTGAAGATTTTCTGTTTTATAGCTTTAGTATTAGCCACCACTAATGCTTCACCCAAGCATGGCCAAAACAAGGATAACGCGTATAGCCTAAAACCCACCGATTGGTTGTCGACCACTGAATTAGAATCGATGCCATCAGTGGAGGATATCACCCTGCAACAGTTGGAGAACATGTCAATGGAAGATGCTGAGCGAAATATTGAGAAGATATGTGAGTGTTTGGAACTGTTAGGTTAATTATAATGTACTATTTAATATTAAATATGTTTTTTCTTTAGATCATTTGTCGCAAATTAATCATGCTCTAGAACCGTCATTTGTTCCAAGCCCCAGTAATGTACCGGTTATCTTGATGAAACCCAATGGACAGCCCGAGCGCACCAATCTCAATGAACTAGTCCAGACTGCCAAGCAACAACCCAACTTTGGCGATGAGGAAGTCACCATTTTCATCACTGGTTTGCCACAGTCGAGCCCTTCTGTTGCAAAGGCGAACAAAAAGTTAATCCAGGCTTACATGCAACGCTATAACGGACAGCGTCAACCAATCAGCAATAACCAGGACTATGACTACGGCAACAATAAGGACAATCAAGGTGCCACTTCAAGTGAAGAGGACTATAGTGAATCGTGGAAAAACCCGAAACCCACAAACGGCAATTTTGTCGTAAGTACACCACATGTGTATATTATTATTTTTGTATCATTAACATGGTACTAAAACTATTTTTTGTTTACTCGCTTAGATCATCAGCTTGGGTTCCACACTCACCAACATGAAGCGTTTGGCTCTTATTGATGTGGAACAAACCGGTAACATGATCGGTAAAGCTCTCGTCGAACTGACCAACGAATGTGATGTACCTCAAGAGATCATTCATATTGTTGGACAAGGTGTTGGTGCACAAGTTGCCGGTGCCGCTGGACGTCAATACAAACGTTTGACAGGTCATCAACTGCGTCGCATCACCGCTTTGGACCCTGCCAAGATGTTCGCTAACGAAAAGTATTTACTATCTGGCTTGGCCCGTGGTGATGCTGATTTCGTTGATGCCATCCATACTTCGACTTGTGGAATGGGTACACGCCAACGCGTGGGTGATGTCGACTTCTACGTCAACGGTCCAGCCTCTACTGCTCCAGGCGCTACCAATGTAATTGAAGCAACCATGCGTGCAACTCGTTACTTCGCCGAATCTGTACGCCCAGGTAATGAACGTAACTTCCCTGCTGTCGCCGCCAACTCTATGGACCAATACGAAAATAACGATGGCTCTGGCAAACGCGCTTACATGGGTATCGCTACCGATTTCGATTTGGAGGGTGATTATATTCTGACGGTCAATCCAAAGAGTCCTTTCGGCAAGAGCACTCCTGCGCAAAAGCAAAGCACTTATCATGCTCAACACCAGTCGTGGAAGAGAGCTAAAAACCAGAACCATAACTAGTAGGCTAATAATTTAGCAACTGGGGTCTCCCATCGAAGATTAGAATGACAATTTACTTTTTAACTACTAATTTTTGTACCTTTATGAACTTTCATTAAAAATAAACTAAGCAATTTGCATGTAAAAATAAGCTTGTAAAAGCAAAGTTCGTTAATTTAAATGTTCTTCGTCTTTGTTCCTATAGTATCTTTTTTGGAAACACAATTTATTTCATTTTTATTTTCACCTTGCAACAAAATTTAATAATGAAATTACATAAATTTTTAAATCAAAAAGAGAATATTTCATGGATACCATATGGATAAGTTTAAAGTAAAAAATCGTATTTCAGAATTGGTCCAACTAAAATTATAAAAAAAAAGTTAGCAGTATATGGTAAGGATCACTAAATTCTTTTCACAAGCGCTCCAAAATGCTATAACACATTCGATCTCGTTTATCGTATGTCCATTGTGGCAGCAAGACCTACGAAATTGGGGAGCATAAAGAACAAACAACAGAAATTTGTAACAAAATAATAAGAAACCACTAACGATACAATATATCTCATAAGAACAAGACCAAAACTAAGTTCGGATAGAGCCGCAGAGTTATAGGAATTAAAGACAGATTATAAATTTCCGAGTCTGCAACGGCGAAATACTTTCAGGTGGTAAAACTTTATATTATATTAAACAAAAAAAAACGTTAATTTCGTTAGCACGGACACTGTAATACCTTTCACAGATCCAAAGGATTCCATATAAGAATTTGATTTTGATCGGTCTGTTTGTATAGAAAATTAAAGGACTAGTTCGCCTATGTACAGAGAGATGGACATAGCTAAATCCACTCAGCGCGTCATGCTGATCAACATAACGTCTCCGACGTTTCCTTCTGGATATTACAAACTTCGTGTCAAGCTTACTCGTTATAAACCTGGGATTGCCTTCAGTGAAAAATTAGTCACAATAGTCACAGGGAGCCAAATTTGGCAAATACAATGCCTGAGCGATGACTCCCGTTTGGTATTTGGCCACAAAGTCAGTCACAACAGTACTAGAATGTGACAGTGCATTAAAGTAGAGAGAAATCCATGAATTGCAGTATTCCTCATGGACCATTCGACCCTGTGGAATTTATGATGAACCACACCACAGTAATCAAAGAAAACTATGAACATCACCTGCATTTTTGACTGACTTTGACGTGTTGTTTTTTAATTTCGGCTCATTTTCGCCATTCGCTAGATTGTTGGACAGTTTTAAGGTTTGACGAATGAAGTTTCCGCAGCTACATTGTCATGAGTCTATTTTGCGACTTCTACTCGACGTCATTTTTGCAAAAGATTCAGATATTTTGCTACGGGTCTATCATTAACACGCTTCATACCCAAATCGTTAACCAAAATTGTTGAGTCGATGGATACGAGAAGTTGAGATCCTTTGCTCTCTCTCTAATGGCAACACGATGGTTTTCAAGCACTGTTTCTTTAACTTTTTCAATGTTGTCGTCATTAGCAGAGGTAGATGGACAACTTGCATGAGATGAGTTTTCGATGACTTCACGACCTTCATAAAATGCTTGGTGCGAATATAAAACCAGGTTGTACCAAAAAATCAAAAAAAAATTGTATCGATTCGGTTTAATAACGCCGTTTAAATGAACCAATCAAATTTGGTCAGATGGACTTAGATTTATTTCTATATCTATATCTTATTTCGTGTCCGTGATATTTATATTAAAAGCAACCTAAATATCGCAATACATACATACATATGTGATATAAACTCAACCAAGGTGACTAAATTTAATATATTCTAAATATTTGTGGCAACTTTTTTACTTGTGCAAGGTATTATAGCTTCGGCTCAACCGAATTAACGATTTTTCTTGTTCATAAGAAAATTTATCCACTTAGTTTCATAAAATATCATATATATTTACTGACTTTCAAGTCAGATGGAAAGTCAAAATGGATGGAAATCAGTATAACGCGTATATTAAGGCTAGTGGAAGATCTGGACTAATTACATTAACATTTGGTATTACTCAAGTTTACTCGAAAACATGTTTTCACGCAAAATTCACACACTGCATATGTCGGTCATTGACAAAAAGCCTACTAACATAGCCTAACAAAAATCTTATATATTTCACTTATCTTATTACTTCATCGCATCACCTACTTATAGATCGCACTGGAGGCTCACAGAGTGAAATTTTTTATCAAAACTAGAACTCGAAATTTTACGTTTTTCTTGTTTTTCATCATATTGGAGCCATTTGGACGTTTTATCGCACATATCGAAAATATGCCAAAAATATTCAAAATATAATGCAACATATGATAAATAGTATATGCAAAATATGCAAACAAATTTCAAAGAAAACTTTAAGAGAAAATTTGTCGTTTTAAGATCGATGCTTATCAGCCAGTTATGTTCTATGTATTGTATTATATTTTACTTTCTCCATACCGAAATATGCCATTTTTATAGAATCAGACGTATTTAAACACAAAAGCTATTCGGATCATTTAAACAAGTTCTTCTTAATGCAGACAAAGCGGTTTTTTATGAAATTTAGTAATTTTTTGCAATGAAAAATGTAATAGGCAACTAATTTCAGACGAAAGTACTCTCAGAAACAGCTATCTGGATAAATGTTACCGACAATCAAATCAAAAAATTCGCAACAGTATCAAAACCAAAGCGTTTGGATATCCGTGAACGCACACAAGCAAAACGTCATGATTTAACTGTCAGAACATTGAGTTAAGATGAATCTTCATACTGCTTTTTATTGTCCCTGTCCAACTTTTTAGAAAGAAGTAAAGAATGTAACTGTTTGTAAAAATTTGTGAATATCATAACCAGATGTACCTACGTTGAAGGCGGCTTCATTTTATGCAGATAAAATAAAAAAATGGACGGAATAACAAAGGTAAGACATCAAAAAAGAATAATTTGAATATATTGTAGTATCAATTTAATAATAATGGGTCAGCGGTCAATTTAATAATTTAAAAAGTCATACATTTTGACAAGTTTTTTCTGTCTGTAGTGTAGAATTCATTAACTAACTTTGGCTTTCCTGGAAAATAATGGAACAGCTATTATTTTGGACAACAACGATATACATTTACTTTAATTTTGTAAATAAAAAAATTCTAAATTTGCATTTTAAGCTTTTGAAGCATTGAACCCAGAGGATGCTGAATTTACAAAGTTGTCAAAAGAGCTGATAAAAAATCCTTAACTATATCGGGATTTTATATATATCTAGAAACTTGAATTTCGAGAGGTTTGTCGCAATTGTAACTTCCTTGAAAGCAAAGGGTTTACCATTAGCAAAGTCAATAAATTTATTTAAGGAAGCTGAAAATATTATTCATAACAAAACTGTTGATTTTGATTGACTTAGATTTTAATATTATTTCAAAAATAAGTAATATGGTTAATATAAAAGCTGATCATTAAATATAATTTTTCTCTAATTACAAACGGTCAAAAAATATCGTTTTTCCTTTGCGCGATCAATTCGCGGAAAACTGCTTTATTTTTTACAAATTAACAAATGTTCAATTGCGATCACTGACGCGTACAATTCGTTCTGTTTTTTCGATCTTCTTAATGTGTCACGTCATACTTGGTGTGACGTCGTTCCGTGCTCAGTTGTTGTTGTTGTTGTAACGATTATCTAATCCCCGTTTGGGTGATAAATTCTAGATTCGTTGTCGTCGAGGTCATCCAACGGAAGGCCCAGGAAACGAGCTGTTTCGACGGGGTCGAATGTGACCATCGTGCCTGCACGAAGATATTTAAGAGCAGCCGTACCAACCACATTCTTGGAGGTTCGATATTATAAGAGGCTATGATCAATATACGTGCACTCACGAGCGGTTAGGGCCTTAGAGAGAGTCGATACATAACCTGAGCAACAGCACTCTCGCATCAAGACCATCTGCCCATATTATCTCGATCGAGAAACTCCTGACTTTATTTCTGTGGATAACCGCACTTATGTTAACTTTAACAAAGCTAACTGTGTCGGCTTCACAGAATTTACTGAGAGCACCTTTAACGCACTACGGACGTCATCGTTGGCGAGCGTCAATTCCACAAGGTGATCGCTGCTGCTACTGCTCGCTTCATACCGGCTGGAAGAATAGCGAAACTCCGCCCTAATTTCCCAGCCGAAGCAGCTGTATTAGCAAATGAGCGCGACACCTTACGCCATGCCGATCCCTGTGATCCCGAATAAGGGATCTCAATTTGGAGATTCGGCAAATGGTAAATCATCATAAGCGGACAAATGGATAGAGCACCTGAAGTCCTGCAACCTCTCCACCGGTGTGAGTAAGCTTTGGACTACTGTCAAGGCCCTGTCAAATCCGAGCAGACATGACGATCGGGTTGAAATTCAATTCGATGGCCATGTCTCCTCGGACCCGAAGAAGTGCGCGAGCTACTTTAGCCGGCAGTTTATACTGCACCCTTCGACCGACAAGGCCAAACGATGTTACCCGACGGCTGCGCAAAATGCCAAAAGACTGCGCACCACTTACTTTCACCGATGGGGAGGTTCAGAGTGTCATCAAAAGGCGAAATCGTCTAAATCCATCGGCCCTGATGGAATAAGCATGCTGATGTTAAAACACCTAGGCCCAACGGGAGTAAGCTACCTCACCAAGGTCCTCAACCTGTCGATATCCACTCTTCAATACCCGATGTGTGGAAAGTCGGAAGAGTGGTCCCACTGCTGAAACCTGGGAAACCCGTCAACAAAGGGAGTCTTATCGCCCGATAACTCTCCTTTCCCAGTAGTGAAGACACTGAGGCCTTGTTACCCGTCATTCACCCACCACCTGAGCGTAGCAGACCATCAGCATTGCTTCCGTAAAGTGCACAGTACCACACAGCACTTAGCGTCATAAACGCTCAGATAGTTCATGGCCTGAACAGAAGCCACCTTGCGAGGACGATCCTCGTAGCGTTGGACTTGTCAAAAGCTTTTGACACGTCAATCACGCAACGCTACTTGAGGACCTGGAACAATCAACGCTCCCTCCAGGGCTGAAGCGGTGGACCATGAACTACTGAGCGGTCGACTCATCCGTACTATTTCGAGGTCAAAACTCCAAGCTCAGGAAAATTAAACAGGGGGTTCCGCAGGGCG